ACAACACATAAATACAAGGGAGGCTGACAACAGAGAAAGAACTAGCAAGGGAGTGATAGTAAAGCCGAGTATAAATAAGGAGTGACAAAGGAGGCGCAGCTGAAGAGTGTCAGAAAATCAGGGCAGGTGTGTCTAATCAAGAAAATCAGTGTAAAGGAACAGACTAGGGCGAGAAAGAGAGAAAGAGAGGAAGGTGCAGCCGGGCAAAGCTGACACTATCTGGCACTGGGAAAAAGGAGCAGACAGGTTAAGTAAAGCAATCATTGGCTGGTGAGCAGGAAAAAAGATTCAGTACTACCTTATCTGCAGACCGGAAGTTCACCAAAATAAGAGTCCAGGACAGGAAATAAGGTCCCAATCATGACAGTTTGTGCCATCAATGACTACAGCTGTGTCCAAGAAAACCAGCGTCTGGTGTAGGCTACTTGTAGCTGAATTTTGATGGATTAACACTGAGTGGTGTGGAAATGAACAAATTGCTGCATTAACATTGGAGCTGGAAGAGTGAGCAAGGTCTAATTTATTATGGCCAAAACTGTCAGCTTTGCCAGACTCAAATCACCTTTACCTGCTTTGTTAATAACATGTATAATCCCATTGTGACTAGTTTCACTAGAGACAGCATGTGTTCTTATTTTTGTTTCTTTTTTTGGCTGTAGTGTACTTTTTAATGAGCTCTGTGTCATTAAGTGTAAGTAAAACATCTCTCTCTGGAGATGGAAGTGATTTCCTAAGATAGGAATGTTGATAAATTGCTCTTACTTCTACTCCTAAAAGTAAGGCCAAAAATGCATAATTCTGGGCATTGTTGGCCTCTCCTACTCTGAGATGCTTGACAAGCACAGCCCCTGATATTAGAAAGACTAGAAAGATTAGTATATACAGAGATTTTAAACAAAAATGTGATAGTCCACTCAATTGCTCGGTGGCTAAATCTCCAAATGGTGCATAAGTTAGATGCAAGTGAGTTTTTGTAATATTTTTTGTTCTGACCTGATAGAGAGACATCATATCTAAAGCCAACATACGAGAGATGCCGGAGCTGGATGCAGGACAAAGTTACTGCTTGATGGTAGCAGCTTACATCCCCTCCAGACCCAAAGCGACCCAGCAGGGAGCCTGGAGCAAACAGCTGTGTACACATGGACAAACAAACACACTGCAAGGTGAACACACTCTGAATACACTATGCTACACTACACTACACTGGTCATACACTGCCCATACCATAAGAACTCATGAGTCATGATTAATAAAATAAATAAATAAATAACAAGATTCCCACATTCCAAATACCAATAAATCTGGGAATTTAGGCCTGTTTGTTTTATAATTTATTTATCATTAGGTCTAAAGTTTCTATGTGAGGTCTGTGAGCAAAAGGCTGTTGAGCTGAATGCGCTTAGGAGGTGCCCTTCAGCCAGTTGTTGAGAATTGCTGATCTGACACCAAATCCACACACAATAATTACACATAGGTGCACAAGATAACACATGAAAGCAGCTCATGAGCCTGCACATGCCCTGATCAAACATGTTACATGAATTACTGATAGCAGGTAAAATCAGTCAGAATGCTGTACAGACTGTACACACCATCAGTTATATGCACTGCTGACATGAGGTTACTCTTATTAGGGAGTGGAAATTGAATGATCAAATTTAGAGGGGGGTAATACTGTATTAGATGTTTCTTTGGGCCTTGAACATTGCGTTTGTTACAGTAAAGCCTACTTTCTCCTGACAGTTAAGGTGCCCATGGCATGATCATTTCCAGCCATGTAATGTTTCATCTTGGGTGCCTCTAAATTAGCTTTGCACCCATCATAACTCCCTTAATTATTTCAGAATGATAAAACCAGAGAGCCTCTTTCTAAAAACAAGAGGATAATTTGTAAACACACACAACTCCTGCTGCTGATGCTGTATCCAAATCTGTTTCCCCATGGAGATGTGTTAACCCCTGACCTGAATGCTAGCATTATCCTAACCACAACCATTGAAACTGAGTTTTGAACAGGGTAAATACATCTTGATGGGGGAACAAAAAAACTTTTGACAGTGATAATACCTCAAATCCTACCTGACATGTTTGAGACAGAAAAGTGGACAGCCACTGAACCGCAACAGCATTAATTAATATGAATTCCTCCTCCACAGATAGGTAAACAACGGTATATGTACCGATGAAAAGAGATGTGTAACACTCTAAACAAAGCGGGAAACTGGCTTAATGCAGACATAGTAACTTATCCAGTTTTACAACAGTCGTCTCTAAGCATAAGCATAAATTTTATTGCCAAATATTATCAAAAATACAAGGAATTTGATGATGGTGCTGATGTTGGTTGTCCACTTCAAGTCCCAAGACTTTGTGGAGCCCAGGAACTTGTAGGACTGAAACAGTGCTGCTGAATATAGAGAGTGGGGGAGCTCTTCCTCGAATCCACTATCATTTCCACTGTTTTCAACAAGATCAGCTCCAGGTTGTTACGCCCACACCACATGGCCAGCTGTTCAACCTCCTGCCTGTAAGCCGACTTGTCACTGTCTTAGATGAGACCAATGACTGTTGTGTTGTCTGCAGACTTCAGGATTTTTACAGAGGGGGTCTCCTGAGGTGCAGTCATTGGTATAGAGACAGGGAGAGCACACATCCCTGTGAACCAATGCCTATTGCTGTTGTATTTGCAGAGTCTTAATGGGCACACACATGTCCTCACAGAAGCTGATATATGATGTCACCATGTCAGTATACTCATCCAGGTCTGTAGCTGCAGCCTCAAAAACACCCCAGTCTGTATAGTCAAAGCAGGCTTGTAGCTTTGACTTGTCCATCTTTTCACAGTTTTGAACATAGGCTTTACAGCTTTAAGTTTCTGTCTGCAAGTTGGAATGAGGTAGATCATTCAGTGGTCCGAAAGCCCAAGGGCTGCACGAGGAACAGAGCCATAAGGGTCCTTAATTACAGTATAGCAATAGTCCAGGGTGGTTTTGTCATTGATGGGACAACTGGCATGTCTGTTTTTGGGCAATTCGCAGGTAAGGTTTGCTCTGTTAAAATCCCGCAAGATAATGAGCACAAAATCTGGGTGTTTCTGTTCTGTACTTATTATCTGGTTGGCTAGGAGCTGCAATGCATTCCTGATGCAAGCCTGTGGTGAAATATAAAGTACCAACCAGGATAAACAAGGAAAATTCTCTAGGAGAATAAAATGGTTCCCAGTTAATGAATAATGCCTCTAAGTCCATATTACCAGTTGTCTCCAGCACTGCGACATCCCTACACCAACTTTCATTAATGCAGAAATAGATGCCTCCTCCTCTCTTTTCCAGATAATTCCTTCCCACGGTTCACTCTGTACATCTGAAATAGTCGCAGCGAGCAACCGCATCAGGGATCGAGTCATTAAACCATGTTTCCACAAAGCATAATGCTGCTGAACAAGTAAAATCAAAGTTAGTCCAATTGACAAGCAGCAATTTGTCCATTTGATAGCTAGGGAATGGAAATTTGCAAGGTGTATGGCTGGGAGTGATATTTGGTAAGCCTGTCGTTGTAGTCTTATGAGGGCCCCAGCCCTCTTCCTCTCCTCCAGTGTCTCGTGCAAGTCACGAAAACTGCTGGTGCTCCACCAGCTAAAATGTCCAAAGAGTATTGGAACATACTGGAGAAAAAATGTCCAGGCTGAGCTGTCGGATGTTCAAAAGCTCATCCCTAGTAAAAGTAATCCAGGCAGAGTTGCAGAATACCGACAAAATCAACAAGTACTACAACTACAACAAAGCACACGGGAGCACATGATTGAGGCAGCCTTGGTCGGCACCATGACACACAGAGCTGTCAGACAATATCTACAAAAACAACACATTAGGCATGCAATGTGTGATTTTTTTTTTAAACTTACTGTTAAGTCCCACCGAGTAGTAGAAACATCACTGCCATTCAAGTAGCTCCAAGGTCAATAAATCCAATCAGTAATTTCTGCTTGTTCCCCCGCACAACCACATACAGTCCCAAGGTAGTGAAAGTAATTCCAACAGATAGAGTAGCACCAACAATAACATCGTGAGTCGTTAAAATCCTCTCACCAACTACATGCAGCAGACACACTGGCTTCAAGCCGTCAAAACAAACAGGTACTGTGCTCCGAGGGAATCCAGTGTTGAAGAGCTGATCATTCATCACCCCAGATGGCTTCACAGTCCGGCTGCTTGTAGGTTAGACCTGGGCAGGTAAAACAGCGAGTACATGTACAGGAACATTCCTGGACATGTGGTAACCTCAGGCCCTGTATTTTTCTCCACATCCTCTGGACACAGTGCAGCAGCAGGAGGGAAAATATATTCCTCCTGGGCCCAGTTGAAAAATTCTGCTTTTAAAATGGTGGATGTCAGGCAAGCTCACATGAACGCACAACAGCCTGGAGATTATGACCATTATGAACTATAACGTAAGACTTCACATTGTTTAGAAAAAAAGAGTTGCATGCAAGAGTTTGTGAGACTTGTATAAACTGAGTACTTAAACACATGTACACCTAATTTTTGGAGCTTTAGGTCACATCTAAGATGATAATTCACAGTTGTAACATTGTAGAGAAGTCAGAAAACAAGGAAAAGGATGCCATGGGCTCTTTAAATATCAGCTGCAGTTCCCTCTGTCACAGCTGTGGTAAATCAGGTGCTGAGGATATTTGTATAAATTTCCATTCTCTCCTCCCTGATTTTTGCATCCCTAGATGGGTACTCCTCAAAATACATATTGCATGAGACCAGACATGCAGATTTCTGTAGTGCTGCATTTCTTGTTTCCTTTATTGTGTGTATCTTTAAAACTGACAAAGCATTTCCTACTTTATTAAATATTGACAGCTTCTATTTTATATTGTTATATATTTTGTGCTGTATGAAAATGTGCGTAAAAGCACGTAGAATTCCACCAGTGTATTTATGTGCATATTAAATTTGGGGATAACAAAATCCAAGTGAAAATGCCAAAAAGTTTAAATACTGCACAAACATTTTTATATTTAATAGAGGCGCAAATATCGGAAAACACACTGAACTAGGTTCTTGATAAATCAGGAAATGCAGTTCCAGTTACTCAACTCAACTCCTTTATTGTCATTGTAAGCAATGCAAACAATGAAATTTGTGTAGCTTCTCAAACAAAGACAAAAGGACAACATGTAGGCATGGAAGACATAAGATAGCGTTACTTGAGTGCAATGAAATAGACTCTCTCTTGTGCCGGCATAACACTTGCTCGCTAGAATGTCTCTTCTTGCTGTGCTTCCACTTCATCACTTGTTTAGCTTACACATGGCAAATGTACTATGCTTCTGTAAAAACATTTGTTCGTTTGTGTGATATATGCTCCAGCCACATCTACGTAAGTGAGACATGGGTTCCCTCATCACATCAAAAGAGTCCATTAATATTAAGTAAAATAAAACAAATACCCAAGTTGGTGACTGACAGCACACAGCACCTATAGTGAGACAGTCAGATAATAGCCTGAATTCCATTAGGGTGTCAATGTACCGTAATAATCTGATAATCAATGTACTGGAGTTAAGAGCCACAGTATTTCCTTAAATGTGTTGATGTTAAGTAAAATAATTGGCAAAAAGTAATTTGACAGATGTGAATTTCCCATCTATGTTTAATAAATTCTTAATAATCTGAAAAAAGTACCTATTGAATCAGATATATTAAAAAGTTCTGTAATTCTTGTTAAAATACGCAGTTGTCAAAGTGGGGGTGAAAATGCCTGACTATTTATCTTAGTGATAATGCAGACTTTTATCAGGTGTGCCTACGGCTGGCCACAATAAAAGGCCACTCTAAAATGTGCAGTTATACTGTACTGGGGGGGTCCTGGGGGATCCGAAAACCTGTCAGTATCTGGTGTGACCACCATTTGCCTTATGCAATGCAGCACATCTCCTTTGCATAGAGCTGATCAGGCTATTTTAGAGTGGCCTTTTATTGTGGCCAGCCTAAGGCACACCTGTACAATAATCATGCTGTCTAATTAGCATCTTGATATGCCACACCTGTGAGGTGGATGGATTATTTCGGCAAAGGAGAAGTGCTCACTAATACACATTTAGAACAAGTTGTAGATCTTTGAGTTCAGCTCATGAAAAATGGGGGCAAATACAAAAGTGTTGTGTTTATAATTTTGTTCAGTGTATGTTGGCGTGAAGCATCCGTGCTTCATTTTAAATGATGCACTCATGTGATTTACCTAAACCATAAATTAAAAGAATGAATGTATCTGACTAATATTTATTTTTATTCTAAATTTAACTCATGGCTCAAACAAAAACTATGTGGGGAGAAACAACCACTTTTTCCTATACTTAGGAAAATAATTGAATGTGTCAGACTAATATTAGTTTAATTAAAGAATTTAGTTTTATTTGTAAAATAGAGTGACTAAAGTATAATGAGGTGAAAAGTAGCATTTACCAAATTAAGATAATTATTGCAATATTTATTTAATTACTGAAAAGAAAATTAGATAAGATTAGATTCAACTTTATTGTCATTACACATGTACAATTACAAGGTAACGAAATGCAGTTTAGCATCTAACCAGAAGTGCAATAACAGCGGTGCAGAGTGTGTAGTATTTACAGTGTGTACAGTCAGAACTAATTTACTTATGGATATGTATAATTGATATTTACAGTAAGATATCTAGGGTAATGTACAATATACAACAGACATTTTGGATTTAAATTACAAGTAATGGATAAAGTACATTAAGCTTATAAAACACTAGTGCAAAGGGATGAAATGGAATGAAACAGTGCAGAATAAGAAGATAAGTTACATGAGTGAACAGTTCAATGGATGTAAATAGAGCAAAGTTAAAGATAAATATGGAGTTTTTGCCTGTGAGTAGTGTATATGCAAATTAACAGATCACTTCAGTGTTACAGGTAACAGAAGTGTATTGCATGAGTCCCGGGAGGAGAGATGAGAAAGGGTGAGGGGTGTATATCTGTGCAAATTCTCAGTCATCCAGGTCATAGTAAACCGCAACCAAAATAACCTTGGAAATCAACTGGACTTGGATTTCTAGATCGAAGACGTTTCACCTCTCATCCAAGAGGCTTCATCAGTTCTGGATTGATGAAGCCTCTTGGATGAGAGGTGAAACGTCTTCGATCTAGAAATCCAAGTCCAGTTGATTTCCAAGGTTATTTTGGTTGCGGTTTGAGGGGTGTATAGTGGTATACAGGAAGGCAGTGGGGGTTCAACGGGGACAGAGTTCAGTAAGAAGACAGCTGTGGGGAAGAAGCTGTTCCTGAGTCTACTGGTTTTGGTCCAGAGGCTCCTGAAGCGCCTCCCAGAAGGCAGGAGGTCAGTTTATGAGCAGGGTGAGAGAAGTCCTTGAGAATGCTGCAAGCACGTCGGAGGCAGTGTTCCCTGTGGACACCCTCAGTGGCTGGGAGGGGAATCCCCGTACTGCCCCGG